ATTTTTATTTTTGATCTCATCAATTTTTTATTTAGTGCAAAAATAATTAAGTAAGTAAGATTAGTGCTCATTGTTTTTGATTCCGATGGTGCGGATTTTTGTCAAGATGTCGCTCGGCGATAGAAGTACATGTGGGTCACCAGTACTGGGATTTTTTAGCCCTTTCCATTCAAGACGATGATTTCCTTATCATGAAAGAATGGGTAAATTGTAAAAAAAAGCTGAGTGTTTGCTAATTAATATTTTCAAACCTTTTGTATCATTCCTTTATTCTTTCTTTCTTGACGCTATTCCGCATATAGCATTTTAGCCTTTGCTTATTACTAATTAATTAGCAAATATTGAGCTATTTCTCCTTACTCTTGACTAATTTTCATATAATGAACTATATTATATTATATTTTATATCTATATATTAGCTAATTAAGTTGATTACCTCCAGCATTCATCAATTTTTCCATCTTTGTGACTTTAATGAATTAAACATTAATGGCTAAACCAAAACTCGAAGTTAAAAACTATTTTTCATCAAGATAATTAATTTACGCAAGAAATTTAAGTATATATTTTAGGAAATTTATATATTTAATATTATTATTATAAATCGTAGTTTATAAGATATCTTGGAGACAATATGCTTATTTACGCAATACGATTACAATTGAATTTAATCTTAATTCCTGCGAAAAAGATCGAGTTTATGCAAATAATATAAACCACAGATTATTTGCATGAGCATTCATTCATCTTCCAAAGGGTACTAAGGTTTATCTGGTTTTCTGCTGTTTCAAGGTATATCTGAAAGCGCGTTATTAACGTTATCTATAAAACACCAGCTGGATAACGGATCAGACAGCATTTGTCATAGAAGTTGCTGAATGTTTGTCGCGCATGTCACGACTTTTATATAATAATTTATGAAAAAATGAAAAATTAACATGAGATTTACTTTCCAAGTTAAATAATCGAGGAATTTTGCAGATTAACGATGAAATTAATTAATGATTAAAGCGGTTGTTTTTCAACACAAAAAATTGCAAAAACATTATTAATGAATTTGCCTAATTATGATTCCGTTTTGAAAATACTTTCATTTAAATTTCCAAACCTAGAAAATTTTTTAATTATTTAAATAAATCAACCAGCATCTATAATTTTTTACGTTATTGTTCGTTCATAACCTTTCATATTGCTATGCCTGAAGCCAGGCATACTGATGCAAATTCTTCTTTCATTACATAAATATAACCAGAAATAAATAGTTAAAGCCTAAAATTAAAGAAAAAGTGAACTCGATTTGAAATATTCGAAGAACAAAAGAAATTCATTTTTATTGTTTTTATTCTTATGAATTCAAAAATATTAATTATCGCCGAAGAAAAGCAAAAAATTTTAGTTTTTTTTAAAAATTAAAACATTTTCCTGTTAACGCCTCTTTCCCATTAGGGAGTTTTGTTAATCGCTTTATCGCTTTACGTTGTTCTTCCTTTATAAGTTGTTTTTATTTTCTTCTAAGCCATACGTTTTTTAAAAATTTTGCAAATAAATTTATTACATATTCGTTATTTTTTAAACTTTTTAAATCATTAAGATTTATTATAAATAGTAACTTTTTTCGGAACTTATTTCAAACTATGGCTTAATTTGATATTTGAACAATGAATATGATTTCATCCATAAAAATGAATAATTGCTTTTTTTTTGAAAAATATTCACCATTCAGAGAATTCTAAGGAGGAAATATTTCAATTAAATAAATAAATTTAATTACAATACTATTCGTAATATTATGCATAAAATCAAGCTTCACGAAGAGATAAATTTCTTTTTTTTAGGTTGGCAGTAGTGCCAAACATAAATAACTTAACTGAATACTAATTAGTTAATTGAATGAATATGATAATTTTCTCTTTTTAGTCCTTAAGAATTTTCAGTTTTTTTCGGCAGTTAAAGAATTTCCATCAAACTCTTTTTTCTTCTTCTTTTATCATAAATCGAAGTATTGCGTGATTATCTTATATAATAATGCTCTTATCGAGGGAGGCCGAATGTTCAGCTTATATTATTCATTTATTTCAAGCATTATTCTTCGACCTACTTTTGCCAGATTTATAGTTAAAAAACTCAACTGAGAGGACATCTCTATTTCCACATCTCTAAGTGAATCTCTGAACAATGTGCCTCATCTTAATAGCTAGTTGAGGGTAGGTGATTGGATTGTAGCTCAAATTATTTAGAACTAAGATTTTCGCTGGCTCCTTGACGCGAGTCAGTCTGACATTTAAAAATTGGCTCGAATAGATCGTACTGTTCACTTTCGCCACAAAGTGGCAATGGAGAGGATCTAACCAGAAATGAAAAGCCATAGCCTATTTATTTAACAGCTAGAAGAGGTACCTAACCACATATGTGAGCTCTGCAAAAAAAATAAATAAATGAATTTTAAGTGCTTGAAAAATAAATACTTCAAATTTTGCTTCATTTTAAGATGGAAAGAAAATTTTTAATTTTCTTCGCATTCAATAAATTAAATTATGATAAATTTCTACGAATTAGAAATTAAAGATTCAATTGCAGTTTTGTTTCATTTTGACAATTTTTTGACAATTTTCATTAGCTATAAATTTTGCCCTACAAATTTGGTTTTTCTTTGAAAATTAAAAATTTGGTTTAATGATGAATTCAATTTAACATCGTTAGAACAATAAGTTAAAGCTAAATCGATTTCAGTAATTTCACCCACTCATTTGGGTTTTCTCGTTATCTAATCTATTTGAAAGAAAAGTGCCTCATTATTCTTCTTAAAAGAGTTGTGATTGAAGCGAAGGTTTATTCTAGAAGATAAAGGCCGATTAACGCTGAATTCTTATTCCATTCTATGGAAAGAAGCTAAAAGATGGAAAAAGTGAATTCTGACTGAGTTTTAAGTGGTCAATTATATTAGTACTGAAAATTTAAAAATAGTAGTTTTGAAATTGGAATGAAATATTTAATTTTTTAAAATTATGAATTTGGAAATAAAATTTTTTAAACAATCGGAATTGACAATCGAAATCGGAATTGATTGGAATTTATTTTGAATATTAATAGTAATGACAGATATAAATATAAATATTAATAACAATATAGCAAGGCATTTTCGCTAGAGCGCGATTTGCAGATGGATGTGCAAATAAATTCTTAGCACCATCGTGTTTTAGTTGCTTGATTTATTGTCGCATCAACGAGATAACCATTAAGTTGGTACTTTACAATACTTCATCTATATCGGTAAACATCTTAAATGGCAAAATTTTCTATTAATCGATCAAAGTGCCCGTAATTTGTTTTTAACTTGGATTTTTTTTGTTTTTGATGGTTAATGGTTGATCAAAAAAATTTTGCCAGCGAGTTGCTTGGCGACAGATGAGTCGCCAGAATCACCGGGATTTGTGAAAAAAAACAAATTTGCCGTACGGAAAGGACCTATCGACATTTCGAACTGATCCAGATTATTCCGTTTTGGTTTGGCGATACGGCCATCTGATGAAATGCGTCGGCTCGATTCAAATTTCGGCAACGAATCTGATAAGCTTTGAAGAAAATTTGGTTTTAATTTATTCAAAAAAATACGAAGATTAATGTAGTAAAATTTCTAAGACAAAAAAGAGAATTAAGGAACTAAGAATAAGAAAATCAGGAATAAATTCAATTCGCAATTTAAAAATTTACCTTTGTTATTGAAATTTAAATTTAGCATAATAAAATATATAATAATATCCAAGTTTAACAAGAAGAAAGTTTCTTTAATTTTTTTACAATTTTTTCTTATTTTTTTAAGTTTTTAAATTTTTTCTTATTTCTTTTTTTAAGTTCACTTTTAATTATTTCTATATTATTATGGCTTTAAACGAATACCATTCGAGATTTACAGTGATTTTTATTGCATTCTGTGGTTGCTGGGTGTATTTTGATGTATTTTGTTGAATTTCTTTTTCATTGTATAATCATTGTCCAACAATTTTAGACCCAAACTATGGATGGATAGAAAAAAAATTTTTCTTCTATGAGCATACTTTGCTGGCCGATTTTTTTGTAAAGCTAATATACGTTGACAGCAGCATAGATATTTTTCCTCATTTCTGGATAGAAATAGTAATCACTGTAATGGGTCTCGAATTCGAGGCAGCATCATTACCTGCATTTTTTAATAATTTGTTCCTGCCAGAAGCAAAAGCCAAACTGTGTTGCTCGAAAGCTGGCCTAAGCAGCAGCAGCTATTTGGCTCTCCTTATGAGGACAATAGTTTTAAGAAACGCAATTTGCTCAACCAATTTTTCAACAATCATTGATTTATAGCTTTGATTTAATTATGGAAATATTAATAAATAACTCGAAGTTACAACACTAAATAATTTTCTTCTATCTTACAGCAGTTCTTTCGCCATTTCTGGTTCGTCTGCTTCCATCAACGATTAAGATAAAGATGAGGTTACTTGCAAATAAAAGTGAATTGGGGATACAGATAAGTCTAGTAACGCTAAAATTTCATTTTTTTATGACTGCTTTATTTCAATCAAGAAACAAGGTTGAATTCTATGAAAGTTTCAATTTGTTCAAAGGAACATCCACTCGGTCATCCAACTAAACGAAAATTTTAGTTCAAAACATATAAAACATAAAAATAGGCTAAATCTAAATTTCCTTTTCAATTTTCCTTTTCTTAATTGCGCAACACTCATTTTAAATTAAATGATACCAAAATTAAAACAAAAGTGCATTGAAGTGTTTTAAAAAAATATATATTAAAATTTCAGAATACCAGTGGCCAATTTTTTCAGATTTGCACCTCAACTTTTTAATTTATTATTTATAATTTAATGATTCAATTTAAGTGTTTTCAAAAAATTATATTCAGGCTATTCACTATGACGCAGAAATTCAGATTATCATCAAGTATCATCAGTATTTTAATTCTCTCTGCAGTAAGTTTTGTATTTTATTGAATTGTTCTCGAATATATGGGCCACAGTCTTGTGGTTTTCGTTGATGTTAGTCGATTCGTTTTATTGAAGTCTTGTGTCCTTTCATTTTTCATTCTGACTATCCATGAATTTCACTCATTCTGTTTTCTTCATTATTTATCAAATCAGTTTAGTGTGATTTTGAAAGAGATCTACCATATAATTGCTTACAGTTTCATCAAACTGCAGCAAAGTATAAGCATGCGAATGAATTTGAGCTAATCGTTTTACATTTTAAAAAGTGCCCAGAAATTCTAAATAAAAGGCTTTAAAATCGATTCCCATTGAATAATGAATGATCCGCAACTTATAAATAGAGTTTACTCGTGTTGAAACTTTAAACTTATTTCCAAAAAATAAATCTCGAATTTTTTTAAGCAATTAAACTATAGCAGTGTAGGCAGAATATGTAAGTCAGATTTTATAATAATTTTGTGAGAATTCCTATATAGTCTCTTTAAAGAAAAGACCAGATGATTTTTAGAATTTTTTAAAATAGATCTTCATGTATGAAATTTTATCGATTCAAATCGATTTATCGTTTAGTTCCAGGTAGGGAAGTTCGGAAGGTTTTTTCCTTTCTTCTCTTTCTCTTTCTTCACTTTTTTTCGAATTTTATTTTTCAGATTATTCCAGTTACTTCGGCTCTAGATCCGATGTACCGAAGCGCAATGACTGGTGGCCCACATAAGGATTCGAAGATGAATTCAATTATTAAAGCAAAATATGGTAAGGGATGTAATGATGAACTAGAAATAACTTGATATCAGTAATTCGGATTCTTTGACCCCCTTGAAAAATTATAACTTGTTTATAATTAGATGGAAAATCAGTAAAAGAGAAATGCAAAGTTAATTGTAGCAGATTTTAATTATAGAACATGTCAGGTGATTAAATTCCAATTACCAACGGCGAATGCGAAATGCCTAAGAAATGATGGAAAAAATTAATGAGATATTATAAAAAAACTAGGAAAATTTGCACTATAGTGGAAAAACAGTTGTGAATACAAGAGTTTTGCATTAACTTATCTAAGAAAAGTTTTAGATTGGTTTCAACCTTAGATTAGTTTCAATAAACTAATCTAAAAATTACTGAAAATAATTTTACTAAAAAACTGGATTGTATTTTGCATTTAGCATCGCCGACAATTGATAACCTCTGGGAAAAAATCCTCGACGATATTTTGCTTTATTATATCGCGGGACGTAGCGCAAAACTTCTTAAAAAATCTCTGGATTCAATGGAAGGCTCTGGTTTCGGCGGTTTGAAAAAAAAATCGATACCAGAAGGTTCACCAGAAAATTTTCAAGATTATTCAAGCAGATATGAACGATCGTTAGATTTGTTGGAAGGAGAAGGCTTTGGTAATATGGAGAAAAAAAGAAATTTATTTAAAAAATCCTTGGATGTACTTGATGGTTCTGGCTTTGGTGGATTACGAAAACGTTCTTCCCGATTCGCTGACAAATCAGTTTTGAGTTAGAGACTTTACTTTTGACAAAATGTATTTGTCAAAAATTATGTCAAGTCCAATTAAAGAAGAAAAAATACCATTTTTCTGGTGGTTTTTTAAAGTTTTTTTCTCGAAATCATAGATAGTTTTATAATTTGCATATGTGAATGGAAACATTTTGCGGATTTTTCTGCTATTTTAATTTTCAAAGTCATATTTTCAAAAAAAAACAAATTCCACTAGAAAATTTCTAAAATTCATTATTTTTAAAAGCCGTATTTGTCAGAAATTATGTCATTGTTGCCATACATTTTCTAGAGCTCGTATTTTCCAGATTTCTGAGAGCCTAATCATCCTATCTTTGCTTTGCATCGACATTTGCTTAAGGATTCGGCTTGAAGATTCTTTGTTTTTTTCATAATAATGTGCTCAAATGTGCTTTATGCATATTTGATTCATGTATTTTAAAGGTTATCGTGTTCAGCATGCATAATTTTCTAATTTGTTAATATGTGACGTTTTAAAATCAATAAATCAGTAGATAATTCAAAAAAGATGACCACAAATAAATTCTTGCAAAAAAGAATGCAAGCCCATCTGATCGTTATGAAAATCTCATCCACCAGTATCGCTCAGATTTCATTTTTAATAACAGGTCTATCGATAGATTCAATCCAATTCATGCAATAGAATGCAGCACAAAGTGTGTAAACTTTCTTCTTCTTCTAACAACTCTCACCATTTCTGGTTAGGCCTGCTCCGCTGGCTGCAAGGGTAAGAAGAGACCTGGTAAGATATCACCAAGCTGTTCGATCCGACGCCATCGCTAGTAATAATAGAAGCCATTCCTTTTTCCATCGTCTAAGTCCATATGTCGCAGGTCCCTCTATCTTTCCTGAAATCTTTCCTGACTCTATCAATCCAGGTCTCAGTTGGCCCATCTCGCTTTTGACGTCATCGATCCAATGTTTGAGGGACGAACTGTGGTAGACTACGAATAACGTGCCATAGCAGCGAAGTCGATGCTCTGTGATGATAACATTATTAATACAGGTAATATTTGAGCAAAGACAGATATAATCATGCGATTTTATCCATTCGACAGACCTATAAAATGTATCTTAGATATGAGTGGCTGATTCTCAATATCTTTTATTAGTCATGTTGCGCAGCCATATAGCAAGGTCGAGCAGCTAGTTATATGGAGGCGGATTTTGGTCTTCATGGTGATTTCACGACGATTACATAAAGATTTCGTCAACCGAAAAACATTTCTAGCTGTCGTTATCCGAGTGGTAATTTCAGCCTTTGCCTGGCCATTTGAGGCTAGAGTGGATCCAAGATATTTAAAGTCTGGCACTTCTCAAGCGTAGTTGATAAAAATAGGTATTTTATCAGCTTCTTCTATTTAAGACGAAAACTTTTATTTTATTTACAATTTCTGAGTTAAAATTATTTACAGTTACACTATTCTGAGTCCAATTTTTGCCGCGGTAATTCACTGGCAGCAAAAAGGACTACATCATCAGCGTATTCAAGATCTTTGATACGATGATCTGGATTGATCTGTACAACTTCTTGGATGCCGACAAGCGATGCTCATTATCCAGTCTGTGGCATGGTTGAATATTGTAGGGAAAGGACGCATCCTTGGCATTAGTTTTTATTTCGAAGCGATCAGTCAGTTCCCCATACATACAGACCTGTGCCAAGATATGCTGATAAAATACCTTTATAAGCCGAATGCTTTTTTTGGGACACCGTCATATTTCATCACATTCCAGAGCGCTGCACTATGAATCGAATCGAAGGCAGCTGCAAATCGATAGGGTAAGTGGCGGTGGGTATTTATCAGCACCATTCTTAACGTAAATATTTGATCAGCATAACAGGGTTCCGATCTGAATCTAATTTGGCTAGGACGCATTCTACTATCAGGTATTACCATGAGTATATTTAGCAGAAGATAAGCGAAAATTTTTCCGGAGATCTAATAGGCTAATTCCTCCTTAATTGTTGCAGTACATCCTGTCATCTTTCTTAAAAATTGGAAGCAAAATTGCTTTGATCCAGTCTCCTGGTATTATTTCCTTTTGCCCATACCAGAAAGTACATTTGAAGATGAATTAAAATTTAAGTTAGAGTTAAAGTTTCTGGACGATAGAAATTATTTCCTCTCCTACTGGCGCTTCGCAACTGTGATTTGTGGTTTGTCGAGCAAATCAGCCATTTCAGAAGATGGCTGACCGTGGTTAAGTTTGTCATAAAAAAATTATGAGGCGATCCTTAATAGACTTAACAGGCGCCCGCATTAATATCCCATGTTTCACTTCTCTTCTCGAATTATAGCTGCTTTGTGAAGAAGACGAAATAGTTTCCAATTATCACCTAACTGAGCCGTCGGTCTCCATTTCCAAGGCCATATCGCTCCAATAGCGATTCCTGTCCAGCCGTGTTCCTGTCGTTATAATTTAAATTCTCAATAGTACGGATCTCCTGGCATTCGAGCTTCGCAGCTTTTTCAGACAGTTGGATAGTTGCTTCCGACATCCAACTAGCGCATTTCTTACTAGTATACCATAGTACGAAAGTAGCCAACTTTTATAGGCGTGTCTTTAGTTGGACCAGTATTCATTCGCCGTTCCAGAGATGTCATTGACATTTCATTATGTTGTTTCAATAATAAAGTTTGAAATGCGTTTATTGTCCTCGGATCTTTTAATAGTTGAAAGATCTATGGATAGGTTGTTTCTTACAACTTATCAGTTTTATAAGAATCTTGACTCGAACCATAACATGGTCTGATCTTAAGCGATTACCAGTTTCAACGCCTCGATAAGAACGACTATCAATGTACAGAACTCTTCCATCTGTAACTGACCAATATGTAGTCAATATGATTAAAATATTTCGGAGAGAGTTGTTAAATGTCTTCTCTGATACCGAAAGTATGTATTAGTAAACAGCTCGTGCTGTTCGGCAAAACGAAGGTTTTCCCCATTGGCATACGAGACCTAAATACCGTATTTACGAACACCAAATTCATCGTAACGGCATCATGACTTACAACGCATTCCAGCCTTCCTCGATTATGGTAATGTTACCTCTCGATAGAGACATTGCAATAGAATGCAGCACATTAAACTTTGTTGACTTCACTTTTGCGAGTGTTTATGAAACAGGGCTCAGATTTATGCTTAACGCTGCCTACTTTTAAAAACCATCTATTGAATCTACTGAATGTTACATTTTTTTAAAAAAACCATTCAAATAAAGTTCATTATTGAAATTACCATATTTATTGATTAATTGTGTAAAAAGAGATAAAAGTGAAGTGAAGTGAAGTGAAGAAGTGAAGATTTATCCAATTATTTCCAAATCCTTCAAGGTTTTTGCTCTGTAGGTTTTTGCTTCTTCATTAGCAAAATTTAGATTGCATTCCAATTTTCATATTTTTCTCAGCATCGATGTATCATTATAGCGATCCACTAATTGTCGATTTTCTCAATATTTAGCGGACAATTTATTCAAATACTTCAACGCCTATTTGTCTATTCTTCGAGTAAAACCAGAAAAATCAGGATTACACAATTATCAGAGAAATTACATGATTCAGTTCAATAGCTTAGCAAATAAAAATTTTGACTGTGGCATTTTCAAGGTTTGCAATTTAGATTATTTGCAGCTTCTACGTTGTTACTAATTCTAATTCGCTGAATTCCAGTATCAACCTCGAAATTACGTGGTCATTTATTGCATTGCAAATAATCATGATTATCTGATATAACTGAATACATAAATCAAGGTTTTAAATTGAAATGAGCCACAATCTTTAATAAATCAAACCTGAAAAACCGGAAACTGAAAAAGCTTAACAAAAGAAAGCGCTGATATCCATCATAAACTTTTCATGAATGAGATTTTTTAGGCTTCCTAAATTATGCGGAAATATCGCTTTCTGAAAAATCCATATCGCTAATGACAGTTTTTATAAAATCTTCCTCAGACCTTTTTGTGTGGCCGAATGGTGCATATCTTGAACATTCATCAACGCTGACAGATTTCATTTATTTGCTTAAAATTGGATTTTCAACTTCATAATCTGAAGAAGATAAATGTTTTTGCGAAGCAGTTTGCTTCAGCCAAGCGAGAAATGGTGAATGCTGCCAGAAGAAAGGAATCAAATTGATGTTTTATTAACTGATCACTTTGTTCAAATCATCATTCTTACACTAATATATCTAATATTTTAAAGCCATAACTATTTTAAACCTTTGTCGCATAAAAATACTTTGTATTGCTTGAGTGATTCTAATAAATATAATCGATTTTTAATTAATTGATTTATACTTAGGATAAATTTCATAGCTCATGTTATATATTTTATGTAATTATTTGCTTCAATTACTAAAAGCATGGAATATTACTTATTTTATTTTATTCACGTTAGTCTAGAAATATAATTTATAATAGTAAGGAAATGATTGCCTTCAGCCGATTTTATCTAATTTTCACGGCTTCCATTTTACCAATTTTCTTGTCGACAATTATTTTCACTGGTATGTAAATTCAATAAATTCCGTCCTATCACTAATAAATAATTTCTGAATCAAAAAAAATTATTGAAAAATTGAGCGGCTACTTTATCGCGTATTATAAGTCGATTAATTATACTAATCCAAATAAGACTTTATATACGTCGATGAATAAACGATCTCCTGTTTAACGATAAAATATGTATGGACTGAATATCCTCGGGATTCAACCATTCAATTGCTCTGAGCGATTAAACGCACTTTACAATGTTTACTAAAGGCTTTAAATTTGTTTGGAATTCGATATAATTTGTGATGGGCTTTATAAGTATTTCTGTTTTATTTATACATGTCAATTTAAAATTATTGGAAAGCGATCAAACTAATAGTATTCCTCGGTTTAATTTAAGATTTAAGATTTTATATTTCGTGCATTTTTTAATGCCACATATTTTTGTTGCAGTTTAATATTTTTGAATTTCGACATAGGTTAAA